GTCTGACATAGGTCCAAAAGTGTTCCCACTACAACATGCCATGCTTCTAATTTAATTCCAACACTTACATCTCTAGCTCTGACCTCAATCTTAAACGCCATTCCATAATTTCAATTTACCTCTTGGAAAGTGCCATTACCTCAAACAGGTCCACCACTGAACTTTCTCTTTCCTCACCCTCAGACTCTGTTTCTGTTAACCATGCTGGTACTCTCCCTAACAGGCCAAAATTTTCTCTATCCACTAGTTTCAAATGTTGTTGATTTTGCCTTTAAATATCTCTCCCATCAGTCTTTACTGTACACTGAGAAGTGTCATAAATAAAACCAATAGGGTTACTGCTTAAGTCTGGAATTGGGATAGGAAGCTGGATGGGTGCAGTGGTTCAGGCTATATAGATGACAACCTTCCTCACCATCCCATATCTAATATACTCTTCTCATTCAACAGACTTGTGATTATCGAGTCAGTCTGTCTGGATTAGATTCTCTACTCTGCCATTACTAGCCTTGTCACTCACTAGTTGTGTGACTCTGGGTAAGTTTCTTCATCTCTCTGGGCCTCAATTTCCTCATCTGTAAACAATTTTCCTTATATGGTTATTATAGTGATTAAATTAATATGTATATGAAGCGCTTAGAACAGTGCCTGGCTCAGAATAAGCACTATAAATGTTAATTGCCATTGCTGCTGCTATTCAGAAAGAGATTATCTAAGTAATGATGAGGAAGAGAAATAAAAGAATCTGTGGGGGCAGTAGTTTCTAAAGGACCCTTTCCCTAGCGCTGGCAGTATGGCTCAGTTGGTTGGAGCATCATCCAGCACACCAAAAGGTTATGGGTTCGATTCCATCAGGGCACATACCTAGGTTGCAAATTCAATCCCCAGTCCAGCGCATACGGAAGGCAACTGATCAATGTTTCTCTCTCACCAATATTTCTCTCTCACATCAATGTTTCTATCTCCCTTCCTCTCTCTCTAAAATCAATAAAAACATATCCTCAGTTGAGGATTTAAAAAAAGAAAAAAAAAAGACCCTTTTCCTAAAATACTGGTTGAGAAGTACTGCTTTAGGCTAGAAATCCAAAGCTGCACTAGGCACTGGAAAAGTGATCTTCAGATCCAAGAGTGGGGAGCAATCCAGTTATAACTGATTACAGATCAAGGGTTACAAAGTGACTGCCTGTAGAAACTTTTTGTTGGCTCATACTGTTCTTTAAAAGGAAATATAACTACTGTAATAAATGGTGGGCTTCTTTGGAACACATGGAGCTTTGGCACCTATCATTTTATATCCAGACAACTTAAGAATTTACAATATCTGGCCCCTGAAGATATCTGTAACTGCTACCCCAGCTACAGTTTCTGGGCTCCATTTCCAGTACCTATATTTTTCTCCTTAAGGGGTCATAGCCCCCCAGATCCTTATATATCTGGTACCACATGAAGGCTTCCCCTTTACTTTTTGGTTTGAGGGTCACATCAGAGCTACAGTATCTTGTCTGGGATGACTTTCAGTCTCACTGTGAGAAAGACCATGTAACCTGTCTCATGCACTACAAACCATTAATAATAGCTACTTGAAACGAAGAATCCATATTCTAAGCTCTACTATTCTATCAAAACAAGACAAATGCTTTGTTTTTGCTAGAGGAAGGCAGGGAGAAAAATCTTAAGTGCATGGTTATAAAAAATATCTTTTCCCGTTTAAATATAAACAGAACTAATGACAATGACTGGTTACATCACCTTGATCAGCTGTTGTTCTGCCCTCAGTTTTCCACTGGGAAATATACGTGCCAAATATTTCTATGCATGATGCAATCCTTTGTTTTAACTAAAATATTATAAAAATAACTATTTTAAAAAGAAACAGCAGATAAAAGAGAGATGTCCCATTAGGGAAATGTTCATTGCTTCTCAAGCCAGATACGAGAGACATTTCTTAAAAATAAAGCCCTGCAAACAGCTGGAAGTGGCTGTACAGGTGTTTCAGATTTTAGCCTCCCTTGGATTCTACTCTAATCAATGCTAATGGTATTTTTCTGTGGCGAAGGTCTGGCTTAGGAACGATGAAGAATAAATCTGAACATCAGGTCTGATAGGATCCAAATGGAAGGGGGGAAGAAGATGGCTAAAAAGGAAAAAAGAACCATGCACTATTGCTGCCAATAGACTATGTGGTTCTCTGTGGTTAACGCAAAGGCTCTGTGGCTCTCAGAACATCAATCAATCAATCAATCAATCAAGTTTATGTCAAGCAGGGTGTGTGTATGTGGCTTGAAATGATTCTTGATTTGGATGGTGGTTTACAAGGATATTTGTTTTATAAGAATCTGTATTACAGTGTACCATATGTTAATAATTTTTAAAAAAGGAAACAGGGCTTGGGAGACACTTCAGTTGTATCAATTAGGCTTTTTTTTCTTTTAAAAAATATGAATATGGCAAACTATTAATACGGTAAACACGGGGTGTGGGCATACAGATATGTGTTAACATTCTATATATTTTACAAGTGTCCAAAAATTTTAAAATATATATTTTGTAAAAATGTGTCTCTCCAGTCAACTTAAAAGGAAAAAGAATCCTGCAGAACCTCGAGATTATTATGCTAAGCAATATAAGCCATTCAGAGAAAGACAAATACCATATGATCTCACTTATATGTGGAATCTAATGAACAAAATAAACTGAACCAAAAATAGAACCAGAGGCATGCATACATGGAACAGACTGACAGAGGTCACAGGGAAGGGGGGGTGGGGGGACTGGATGAAAGAAAGTTGAAGAGATTAGCCAAAGAACATATATGCAAAGCCAGTGGACACAGACAACAGTGTGGTGATGGCCAGAGGTGGGAGAGGGGCTAGGGGGTGGGTGAAGGTGGGTAAAGGGGAGGAAAATGGAGGAATCTGTAATAGTGTCAACAATAAATTATAATAATAATAATAATCCTGCAGAAAGAAAGCAGGATTTTTCCTGGGCCTTATTATGTATACATTGTTTGCACTGATGGTGCTCTAAAAGGCTTGAGTTCAAGCTAACGAAGAATGTAACAAAATAACTAGGTGAATCAAGTTGAAGCAAGATCATGGATTAAATTTAACTAAAGTCTTGCTCTACTCTTCAACAGTTTCTTTTGTGATGTACTTTAATGTGATGTAAAAAGATAAGGATTATAATGCTGCTACCTAATCAACTTTTAGGCTTACTAGCTTTTTGGGGGGTGGGCAGGAAAAAGCATGCTTTCATAACATATATGCCTGTATTCATTTATTGAATTTTAAATGATCTCACCAATTTACCTGTTTTCCTTTCTGCTTCCAATCTTTAGAAGCAATCAATGAATGCATAAATAAGTGGTACAACAAATCGATGTTTCTCTCTCTCCCCCCCTTTCATCTCTCTTTCTAAAAATCAATAAATTAAAAGAAAGAAAAAGAGAAAAAAGAGCCCTGGCTTGATAGCTTAGTTGGTTAGAGCATTGTGCTGATACGCCAAGGTTGTGGGTTTGATCCCTGGTCACGGCACATACAAGAATCAACCAAAGAATATACAAATAAGTGGAACAACAAATCCATGTTTAAATAAAAACAGAAAGAAATAACTAATTCTTTAATTCTTCTACAGAATATCCCTGGGCATCAAAGATAGTATTATCATCTATTTTTTTTACCTCCAATGAAATTCAGGAAGATCTAGAATTAAATGTGGACATAATGCAAAAGGCCCAGTACTACTAAATTCAATATTGACTTGTCTAGGAAATTTACAGATGTAGCAAATTAATTCTGTTGTTCAAGATTTCAAAGACTTAAGTCCAGAACTTCAACCTGCATAGCTTATGACTCATGGCTTAAGGGAATGATTAGTAAGAGTACTTGGGATGGAGATGGTTAGACAGATAATAAACGGGCGGATATCAGTTTTATTTACCAGTTATTTTACTATCTTCAGATCAATGTTTTCAAAAGGGTGAGCCAGCATATCAAATGACAAGAAAAGTACAGGAGAGAAAAAAAAAATCATTGTAATACACAAAATTCTAAGAAATGCAGATCACAGTGAGAGCGCAAGAAATTCCAGTTGAATTGACTTTAACAGAGAGCTGTTTGAGTTGTACATCTCAGCGCTCAAACCGCAGGTATCACATGCAATTTATCGGTTTACAGCTGTCTTGTGGGTACCATCTGAGGATCCAGAAATGATTAGTTTATGCAAAACAGCTACAACCCCGCAAACCAGGCACTCTACCATGTCAGCGTTTCGATTTTAAAAGTCTTACTCTACCTCTGCGAATATTAGCAAATTGGCAAACATTACTGAGCAAATGAGACCTACATTTCAAACAAAGACAAGTCTGGAAGGCCACAAGTAAACGGAAGCTAAAACTAGCTCACCCAAGCTGTTAGCCAAGGATTTCGTGGAATCCGCTCAATTGCTCTTCCCAATACAAAAAGGGATCCTTGGGAAACGATCATTTAATCACTTCGTTTAAGTGGGTGGGGCCACCAATCAGAACTTGTTCGGGACATCACTAAATGTTTGACCCGAAAACCGGCGGGAAATCAGCCAAAAGGCAACCAGGCCAAGTCTCTCAAACCCTTGAACTCCCAATGTACATGCTTCCTTCCCACCTTTGGGCAGAAGTTTATACCGAAGCCAGAAAACACGAGCGCTAGACTCCACTGTGTGCCAGGCACGACCCCCCTCATCAGCTCTCACGCCAACTCCAAAGCCCCTGAACCGCAAAGTCCTAGTTGCAGGGGCGACTGAGCTAGGAAAACCCACTCGCTGCAAGGCGCCCGCCTCATCTCAAGCCCCTCTTCACCCCGAGTTCCCAGAAGTACCTGCCCAAGAAAAGTAAATAAAGGTGTTCAGGTCCCTCCTCTCTCGGAGCCGAGAGGAGGAGGATGCGTCGAAGTTCCACACGATCGATACCCATTCGGAACTTGAAGATGAGAGTCTCCTACAGGGGCGTCCCGGCGGCTACTTACCGGTACGTTGTTGACTCCCTGTCCTTTAGAGGCTATCATGAGAATTTCCCTGAAATCCATGTTGACCGAATCGGATGGAATGGGCCAGGCTCTCAGAGAGGGGTACAAGCCCGCCTTGCCCAGGCGGCTCGCTGCAGCCGAGTGAACTGGCTGGCCAGCCCCTTTCCCACCCCTCGTCAGCACGACCACTTCCGGCTCCTTCCGACGCCGTCCGCCCGCCCCCTTTCCTCCAGCGGCCTATATCCTTTCGGGTCCATCGCTCGGCTCGCGAGTCCCTGGCGTAACTTCCGCTTTTTGGCTCGAGACACGTAGAAACGTGGTACGTGGCTGATTACGTAGACTCAAGGGGGCGGGACTAAACCCTTCACCGACCAAGGAGCCGCAGCCTAGTAAACTGTGGGGCGTGGCTATGGCAGAGGGCCAGGTCTGTAGCGGCCCTGGCGCGTAGCCTGGCAATCTTGATGCTCCTTGCGGGCTTTGGGTGGGGAAGGCGAGGGGGTGGGGTTGACCTACCAGGCCTGGGTTCGTTGTGTGACACGCGTGGACGCTCAGGTCTGAGACGGCGGTGCCCCAACGTCAGAACCGACAGGTATCATTCAGTTACTGGTTTCTAGGCGCTCGCGAAGCTGCGCAGGCGCACACGGCACCGACTGGCCCTGCCTTGGGTGCACTTTACTCAGCACGTCCTGGCACATGGTGTGCGCCCACCTCCTGCACAAGTGCACGCGTTTCGTGGTTACAGGCACCCGCTTCCCGCTTTTGCCCCATTTAGATAATAAACTCCACGTAGGGCAGCCAACTAACTGTGTTTTGCTCAGTGGGTGAGTGAAGGAATTCCTCACGCGCAGACCGAGCCTGGACTTAGCTGGCACACTGATAAAACATACATATATACCCCATATTCATAGTCACTGGGAGTCCAGCCCTGGGTTCCTTTTAGGACTTATCTGCGGTCTTTAAGGTGATCTCAACTCGGCAAAACACACTCATTAGGCTGATTTGGGGCTAAGGGTAGGAACAGGCCGGGACTGACTGTAAACGCACAGTAGGGATCTTTTCAGTGTGATGGGCATATTCTACAACTGGACTGCAATGATGGATGTACTGTAAATTTACTTAAAATTACTGTACGCTTAAAATAGGTGAGTTTTGCAGTATGTAAATTATATCTAAAGCTGTTACAAAATATTAGGCAAAGCTACTTAGTGTAACTCGTGTAACAAGTTTAATGCTGAGTTGTGGCCCTCGCTACATTTCTACACTTACGGCTGCCAAAACAACAGACCAAGATGAAGTTCATTTGATGGCAGAACTGGAATTCACAACTTTCCTTTTCCCTCTGGGGATCTCAGCATACAGGTCACCTATGCCATACATTCCTTTCAGACACCCACCTGCTTTTTTGTTTGTTTTAATATTTTTATTGATTTTTAGAGAGGAAGGGAGAGGGAGAAAGAAACAGCAATGTGAGAGGGGAACATCGATGGGCTGCCTCCTGCACACCCCCTAGCGGGGATCGAGCCCACACCCCGGGCATGTGCCGTGAGCAGAATGGAACCAGCAACCTTTTGGTGCATGGGAGGACTCCCAACCAACTACCCGCCAGGACACCCACCTGTTTTAGGTAGTTCACACTTGCAGGAGGCCGACTCTACAAATATTTCTGCCCCTCGGTTGAGTTAATGTAGATATGCATATATACATATATGCTTGTACATACAAAGATTATCTCAGAAAGGGTGGGTGCCAAAAAGATGATCTAGGAAATGGTTGCTTCGGTGGAGGAGAGAACTGAGTCACCTGTGTAAGGAAGGGTTACTTTTCACTGCATTCTCTTTGGTGCTGTTTGAATGTTTTTCCTTGTGCGTGTACTGCCTTTTCAAAACAAATCAATTTCTTTAGGTGTTAAAAAAAGAGATTATGACAGCCAACAGTTGTGCAGCACTTTTCACTATATAAATGTGTGTCACGTGCATGCATTTCTTTGCTCTTCCAATAGTTTGGAGGAAAGCCTTACTTACCCCTTTCTGGGGAGTCATTGTGCAGACCTGAAATACTCTATCAGAGATCTCCGTCTGGAATAGACTACAGCATCAGAGCTGTTGCAGTGGCGTTTTTATTATCATTAGAGGCAGAGGCCTGGGCAAGGCAGGCTCGAGTGATTAGCTATCTCAGCACTCAGAGTTCCTGCAGTAATTAAGCAACCCCAACCTGACCGCAGGGCTTTGTAAGCAATTTCAGCAAAGTGAGGCCAGGAGAACAGAGCCACTAGAGGTTAATGGGGTGGGAGGAAAAATGGGTGACTATGGTATTTGAAGACATTTGGTGATGAAGAAAAGGTGAGAGACACGGAGTAATGAGGGTGGGGGTAGGGGCTATTGGGAGAAAGGCAAACTCAGAGAGGTGGTGTGGACAGGGAGTAATGGAATGAGCTGGGTCTTTGCCGACCACAGGTCTAGGCTTTAATCTTAGCTCTGCTGTGGAAGGGTCATGTGTTCCTAGGAAAGTTACTTTTTGGTTATTTTTTAATGTATGTATTGCACAGTATTTAAATACAATGCTTGATGTAAAAATTTTGCAAGGACTAGAAATAAGGCAAAAATTCCACTCAATTTCACTCCTCTTGATACTGTTGTAATTAGCTAGTTATTAATAATAGGAAAGGAGCAAAGAGAAGGCCATACATTATAGACACATCATTTGGGCAGCTTCACCAGGAAGCTGCCGTTTTACTCCCCAGGGAACCACCAGCCCTTACCCACAGATTACTGAGGGAAGGGGTCCAACAAAGGGGAGATAGATGCAGACACAGTGATGTTGGGGTGACATGGGGAAGGTACTTGCCTGTCAGTCAAACCTGGGGATGAGATCATTAGCCAGAATGGGCATGACCACTGCAAGCCAAGAAAATTTGGGAATATATAATTCCCTAAACGAAGGAATTCTCTCTTGTGACTCTTGACTCATTCCTGCTTCCTTGCACTCGCCCATATGGCCTGCTACCATGGGGACCCCACACGTAATGGACTGATGGACTGCAGCGGGAAACACATACTAAGCTAATCTGATGCTGGGCTGGATTGCTTCAATTTGGAAGGGAAACTCTGGACATGGATTCTGATTTTAACCCCACTAAAGGCAAAAAGACTTCTTCCTTGGGGAGACGGAGGGAAATGGGATCTTGGAAACTCAGGGATGTCATCCCACACAAATAAAAATCACTCGTGCCACCCTGGCCAATGTGGCTCAATTGGCTGGAGTGTCGTCCCATACACCAAAAAGTTGCTTGCAGGTTAGATTCCCTGTCAGGGCACATACCTGGCTTGTGTGTTCAGTCCCTTGTCAGGGCAGGTATGGAAGGCAACTGATCAATGTTTCTTTTTCTCCTTCTCGCTCTCTCTTTTCCTCTTTCTAAGATCAATAAAAAAACCCAAACTCGTTCTCTCATGTGAGTCTCAGAAAATTTTTTTTCTTGGGACATTGCAAGAATTCCACTCCCACTAGCAACAAGTGGGGACAAGGACCCCTCCAGTTCCACCGGTAACACACTCACCAGAGGAAAGCTACCATATCAGATGGCTGTGTGTTCTTCTGAGATGTTTTAATGTGCACAATTATGTCTAATGTATACCATATACATGTGATACACACATATAAAGATACAATATATGTATTTACATAGAGTAGCATATATAAATATGTGCATATCAATACAAATTTAGGATATTTATATTTGGAAACATAACTTGGTTTGTTTACAGAAATGAAATCATTCTATATATGTATATATGTATATAGATTTGAAAAAATTTTTTTCAGATTAAAGTATGTCTTGGAGCTCTTTACATGTTAGTGCATATTGACCTACTTTATTTTTTATAGCTGCAGCATCATATCCCATAGTATGTATTTAGCATAGATTTTTTAACCACACTACTGTTGAATTGTAAGGCTTCTTACAATTTTTTACTATCATGAACAATGCAGCAATGAATAGCCTTGTAAATGCTTTTTTTGTGTGCAAATAATCCTCCTGTTTTCCTATATTAGATATTTAGATACCTAGAAATTGGAAGGATAAAGGGTATTCACAATTAAAATTTTGATTGCTACTACTTAATTATCCTCCCAAAGGATGTACCAATTTAGATTCCCACCACCAATATACTGGAGCACCTTTTTCTCTATACAGTGGCTCTGGATATTATCAAACTTAACTTTTTGTCAATTTGATTGGTGAAAAATATCCCATTGTTCTCTTATTTTTCCTATCCTCAATTACTAGCCAGCATCAGTTACTAGCCACTTTTCATATGCTAATTGTAATTTGTTGTTCTTTTTCTTCTGTAAATTGCTCACCTCTGCAATATAACGAATATTATAGTTATTTTGCTGGTATCCATCCTACTACCAGTCCCATTGTATACTGGAAATCCCACCTGGGTGGGATAGATCCTACTCCCAGCTCTAGTGAGTGCCATAATCTAATCAGTATAACCTCACCAAGTTTTCCAAGTGATTAAGTTAAAAACCCCAGTGGCTTCGATTGTAAAGTAATAAAGCAGGAATGAGTATTCCTCAGGAATAGTAGGCACAGTGCCCAGGGCCCAATGTCTTTTTAAGGGCACATGAAAATGGCTTAATTTCTTTTAAAACCAAAAGGAAAAAAATGAACCTTTAGATTAAAGAAGATACTTTAATATATTATGGATTGAATTGTTTCCCCCCCAAAATTCCTATGTTGAATCCTAATTCCCGTTGTGACTATATTTGAGGATAGGGCCTTTAAGGTTAAATGAGGTTTTAAGGTAATTAAGGTGAAATGAGGTTTAAAAGAGTGGAGCCCTAAGCCCAGATGATGGTGCTGACAAAGAGAAAATTCTGAGAAGTCCTAAATTAAATTATAGTTGTTAACGACTGCAGGCCAGCTGACAAGACTGCTGAATTCCTGTATGTCTGCTTGAATTTTGGATTAACTTCTAGGTGGCTATTTCCGAGATTATCCAAAAGAGAGAACAGCCAGACACCATTGGACCCCTGGAGCCCGTTTCTTGTTTACACACGCAATTTCCAATCTGTTGCCCACAATCTACAGGAGCTGACTTTTTCCTCTCATTCGGATGGACTCTGCATCTATTCCAG